TCCACCGGGCGGTGAGCCTCACCGACGGCGCCAGTGGCACCGTCCGCATACAGCGCTTCGTGGCCCTACAGGGAGCTCCACCGACGGGCCTCAGTGTGACCGCCCGCATGCGACCCCACCACCCAGTACAGCGCTTCGGGGCCCAAGAGGGAGCCTCACCGACGGCGCCAGTGGCACCGTCCGCATACAGCGCTCCGTGGCCCTGCAGGGAGCTCCACCGACGGCATCGGTGTGACCGCCCGCTCGCGCCCCACCACCAAGTGCAGCACTTCGCGGCCCAATCGGGAGCCTCACCGACGGCGCCAGTGGCACCGTCCGCATACAGCGCTTCGTGGCCCTACAGGGAGCTCCACCGACGGCCTCAGTGTGACCGCCCGCATGCGCCCCCACCACCCAGTACAGCGCTTCGTGGCTCAATAAAAAGCTCAAATAAAAGCCCCAGTGGTACCATCCGCATGCGCCTCGCCCATCCAATACAGCGCTTCGTGGCCCCTATTGGGAGTGGCAAAGTCCACATGCGCTCCCCTCACTCAGTACAGCGCTTCGTGGTCCCATAGGGAGCCGAAGGCCTCAGTGGCAAAGTTCGCATGCGTCTCCCCCGCCCAGTACAGCGATTCGTGGCCCATACACAGGGAGCCTCTCCGAAGGCCCCACTGGCAAACTTCGAATGCGTCTCCCACGCCGAGTGTTTCATGGCACATAGGGGGCCCCACTGAAGACGATACCCACTACTGGAGTATTCACAACTCCATATGGTTGGGTCATCCGCCAGGCGAATGTCCACCCCCCGCACCATGTATACGTATATACTCAGGGGGCAACCCTTCATTTCCCAACCACCTGTCGTGTTTGGTCCTCGTTTTGAAGCGACAGCACCCCGCTGTCAACCCTGCATCCCTCCTTCCATCCGTACCGATGCTCTCCGCACACCCATCACACGCTTCATGACCAAATCGGGAGCTGCACCGACGGTCCAAGTGCTACCGCCCGCATGCGTCCACACCACCCAATACAGCGATTCGGGGCTCCGTGGCGAGCTCCACCGAAGGTCCCAATGCTACCGCCTGCATGCGTGCGTCCCCACCACCCAGAACAACGCTTCGTGGCCCCATAGGGAGACCACCGACGGCATCAGTGCTACCGTACACATGCCTCCCCCCCACCCAATGCAGCACTTCGTGGCCACCCAAGGAGATCCGCGGAATGTCCCAGCGCTACCGTCCGCATGCGCCCCCACCACCCAGTACAATGCTTCGGGCCCCCATAGGGAGCTCCACCGAAGGTCCTAGTGCTACCGCCTGCATGCGCCCCCACCACCCAGTACACCGCTTCGACCCACCCCACCCAGTACAGCGCGTCGTGGCCTCATAGGGAGCTCCACCGACGGCCCGAATGCTACCACCCGCATGCGCACTCCCCCCCACCCAGTACAGATCCACGTGGACCTCCGCTCCGCTGGACCTCCCAGGAACCCACAGAGGCGGCGACAAGTGCGCGGTTCGCAGCCCCGCAGGGCCCGCGAGGTCTCGACGAGGGAGAGGACGACTGAACAGGAAAGAGAGGGGATAAAGGGAGGGGGGAGGCGGGGAGGAGGGAGGAGGGAGGCGGGACGAGGAGGAGGTGGACACTGCTCCATTCCAACCGAGAGTCCAACCAATGGAGGGCTGGGGACACAGCCGAGGGCGAGGGCAAGCAACAACTAGAGGGTCGGGGGGGGGGCAGGAGCCGCACCCTGGGGGGGAGAAACGAAACAGGGCGGGGGGGAGGCGGACAAGAGTGATGCCCAGGAAACGCATCGAGATGAGAATAGGAGGGCACCAGCTGTACACCAACACCGACCCTGGCCAGGATCACCCTGGGCCCAGGATCGGTGTATACCGCCCTCCTGCCTTGCGCAAGAAGGCATGTACACCGATCCTGGGCCCAGGGTGATCCTGGGCCAGGATCGGTGTTGGTGTATAGTTGGTGCCCTCCGATGAGAAGGGGGGGCCATGAGATCTGGGGAGGTGATGGGCCGATTCTCCGCCACCACTACCATAGGTAGGACAAGGAGGAGGAGGCGGAGGAGGAGGAGGAGGAGGAAATGGAAATGGAGGAGGAGACGGAGGAGGCGGAGGAAGAGGACCTCCCCATCCTCCCTTCTCCCCCACCCTTCGTATGGCAGCGGTGGTGGGAAATAAACCCATCAGGAGGTTTCCCGGCCCCGGCCACGGTGTCCCCACCCGCCCCCCTGAGGTCATCGGCCCGCTCTTGGCCGCCCCCCACAGTGGCCCAGCGCCTTCTGGGCCTCTGGGACCACCACGGAGATCGACCCAGCCCGCAGACGATGCTCCGAAGGAAGGCGGGGCCTCCCGCCGCGACGTGTACGAAGCCTGCGTGTCTGCGCGGCCGCCCGCTCTGTCCGGCTGCCCCGCTCGCGCACGCTGGGCAATCCGCCACAACGGCGCCCCCGTTTAGCCCACTCCCTGGTACTACAGTCGGGGCGTTGACCTAAGGAAACCTAAATAAGGAACGAGGCCCCTTTTTCCCCCAAGTTCAACTTCGATTCCCCATGGAAAACCTGAGGGAAACTGCAAAACAATCGAGGAACACCGAGCTCCTCCCCAACGAAAAGGGTTCCTTCTTCAAGGCCCCGACTGTATAACCTCGGCCTCGCCGCCGACGGAGGAACAAGAACAAAAATAGTCCACCACCTCCAACTCCGCTTCTTCTCCCCCCTCTCTCCGCGTCCGCCGCCGCAGCCCCCTTCCAAACTCCCAAGCCGCCCCACCACCACCCCCAGTTTCCACATCCAACTCCACCTTCTTGGATGTGCACCGACGTTGTGTTGATCTCGCCACCTCGACCAAGACAAAGTCGGGACAAGGACAAAATCGGACTGGAATGAATCAGGGGGGTCAGAGATCTGGCGGCTCTGAAGGATCTATCGGGCGCCGCGGCCTTCTCAGAGCGTCCGCGAGGCGCGCTCGCGCAGCGTAGCCCGAGGCGCGTGCGCAGCGCCAAGGGATGGGGGCAAGGAACGGAGGCACCCACTTGATTCCCAGCCATCCTGTGGTGGGTCCTCCTTTCGAAGAGACAGCGCCCCGCGCTCTCCTCCGCCTCCTCTCCGCGTGTTCCAGAACGCTCTGAGAGCGTGTCGGCACACTCTGGAACGACCCTGTCCCAGCCCCGCCCAAACAACGCCAGACCCTCAGAGGTCTCGACCCGCCCCCTCGGGCCAGCTCCACACCCCGAGCCGCTCTTTCGGACGGTGCCGAGGCCCCGCGAGGGCCCCCGAGGCCGGAAATGGCCACAAGCAAAAGCACGTCGCGATGTGTCCACGACGACAGGAGGGGGGGGGGGGGAAGGGGGAGGGGGAGGAGGAGGAGGAGGAGGAGGAGGAGGAGGAGGAGGAGAGGAGGAGGAGGAGGAGGAGGAGGAGGAGGAGGAGGAGGAGGAGGAGGAGGAGGAGGAGGAGGAGGAGGAGGAGGAGGAGGAGGAGGAGGGTCGGTCGCTCGGGGCTCGACATCAGGCCAGACCCACCGCACCCAACACGGGCCCCGCGCCACCTGCGATCCGCGCACTCCAAGCAGAGGGCCGCCGGCCGGCTCCGGGACGGGCCCACGGCCACCTCCGACGCCCCAGAGGAGCCTCGCGAACGGCCCCGGTGCCCGGTCCAGGCGGCGGATGGCGGCTCCGCGACGGCGCAACGCGGCCCCGAAACGGCCCCGAGGCCCTCCCTCCCGGGCCCCAAGACGGCCCCAGCCCCTCCTGCCCAACCCCCCGACGTCATGACTGTTGTTCATGACGTCGACCCCCAAGGGTCTCGGCCCATTCCCCCGGGACCGGCTTTCCATCCTGGATCGTTTTCTGCCGGCCCCGAAAGCCGGCAAGGGCCCCCAGGGGCCGAAAATTGAACAAACCTCCCGTCGTGACTTTTGTGCATTGCTCGAGGGCGTCTGGGTCCGGATCGGCAGTGCGAGCTCCAGGGGTCAGTCGGGTCGGGCGAAAGGGGGGGATAGCAAAGGGGGGGGTTGAGAATCAGCTCACGTAGCTGATTTTCCAGGTGCTTCCCGGCGCCGGAAGGCGCCCATGTATCGAGGAATGGGCCCGGCGGCGGGGCCGAAACCAGCTGCATGCAGCATGCAGCAGATTTCGTACCCCCCCCTTTCCCAATCCCCCCCTTTCGCCCGGCCCGAGTCAGGAGCAAAGAGAGCACGGCGGGCGTCGGTCCCCACCTCCGCGAGGCCGCGCTCCTCGACCTCGCGCAGCTCGTCCCTGCGCTGCACCCGCTCGATCTGCAGCGCCTCGCGAACCGCCGCGCTCAGCGCGCCCTCGTGCGACGCGCGGAGCGCCGCCGCCTCCGCAGGATCGGTCGGCACCGGATCGGAGAAAACCCAGACCTCCAACGTAGCCTGAGATCCTGGAGCGCACACGGACACACTTGGCACTACGGTCCAAACCGATAGTGAGGATGCGCGGTAAGGAGGCAAGCCCAATGGACGCCCACGTCGCAGCTTTTCGAGCGGGGCTGGCCACCATCGAAAGTGCTCAAGAATGGGCCGAAGAGGCAAGGATGCGAGGGTACCGTTGGAATGGTGGCGCATCGTTATCATCGGTTTCGACTGTATGTGTGTGCCCTCCTCGGAGGCGCGCGTCACAACCTGATTACATGATACAGACATCTTGTAGTACATTGTTTCCAAAGCGGTGTGGCCAGCAAGCGCATGCCACGGAACGTATACTATTAGATCCCTCGGCAGGCGCGTCACCCCTGGGGGGAGCGACGCACACTCAATAAGACAGGCTGGGAAAAAAAAGGTTTTCTCCGAACGCCGCCACATAGTCCAATGCCGCATAACAGGAGGCTTTGTGTGAGCGATGGTTGCACTATGTGGTGCAATGGCCGAACACACTGCGCTTCGAATGTCCACACCCACGGCCCTGGTTATACTGTAGCACGACAGTGCAGAATGTGGGCCCGCATGTGTTCAGTACACACCGTCATGTTTCGCGTGGTT